GAAAGAACTGTTCTTTAAGAAACAGAACTTTTACAATGTTCTTCAAAAGTCGAGTTCGTTGACCTGACGAACTTCATTGATTATTACTGATTGATTTTCAGTGCTTTACATGCAGCTTAACACGCCTTACTTACATTTCAGGTGTACGCCCTTAGTGCTTATGATCCTCATAATGAACCTTAACATCTCTTTAAAATATTTCCTAGAGCCCGTTTGTTTTAGTGAACGTAGCACCTATCTCAGATTAACTACGAAACTTTTATTAGGTAAAACTTTTGAACTAGAACTACGACTTTTTACCCTATATATAGTAAGTTGTTTATCCGAAATACAGCGCTAACTATTTGTGAGCCATGGAAAAAAAAACGACTGTAACGTTGACTTAAAATTATACGTTATGTTAAAATGAAAGTTTGATGAGCCTACACTTATCCAACGTGGACCACTCATTAGACATGACGTTTTTTATAGTAGTCTAAGTATTACAACTATTATCATAACAATGAGCATTAAATGTAATAGATTCAGAAACTCAATGAAAGGCATATAATATGGGGCAAGAGGGGAAATTTTTGTTCGCTATTAATGAACTCTAAGTATTTTTTGATTAATATCACATTTGCACATTCCATAATTATCAGCCGGCACCGAACTTTACACATTCACGCCACCCCCCTCAGAACTGGCTCAAAGTGAATTCCTGCCCAAGTCCCTGAGTAATTTCAGAGTCGAATCACATTCGGCACATTACCGAACACTTACCAAACAAGAAATACAAACAAAGAAATGACCACAATACTACTTTTAATGTATTATACATAAACTGAATGAGGTTCGAGACATTATATTTTCTTTCGCGTGCATAAATATGTGATGTCCAGCTAATATTAATTAAAGATTTACACTGAAACAAACCTGGCTCTTTCGGGGTCATTTCGTAACGATACCCTTCATCCACAGCAAGATCGTTCATATGTGAATCTTTAGTTCGAACCGTTTTCTTTGGGGCTGGTACTCGCTGGTTTCCGCTGTAAACGGCTGACACTAGAAGATCATACTTAGTCCCTTCATCTAGTCCAGAGAGGGTCTTGGACTTGGCTGTAGGCGGTAATAGCAGGTCTCTTGCTTTACCTATATGAGTAAAAAATACTCAATTTTATATACTGTAAATATTCGTCACGAATAACTGTCGTTTCAGCATTTTTGTAAACACAACAAATTGACAAAATATTTTTATGCATCTGTTCATTATTGTTTTAATGTAATGCTTTGTATTTTGTGTCTAAAAATATCTTGACATACATAGAGAAATAAAGCGTCCGTTTTTTACACGGACGTCTGAAAATATCTTGACCTACACATACAGATAAACAAACATCCATATTTTACACGGACGTCTGAAAATATCTTGACATACAAACAGAAACAAAACGTCCGTATTTTAAACGGACGTCTGAAAATATCTTGACATACAAACAGAAACAAAACGTCCGTATTTTAAACGGATGTCTGAAAATATCTTGACACACATAGAGAAATAAAGCATCCGTTTTTTACACGGACGTCTGAAAATATATTGACCTACACGTACAGAAAAAACAAACATCCATATTTTACACGGACGTCTGAAAATCTCTTGACATACAAACAGAAACAAAACGTCCGTATTTTATACAGACGTCTGAAAATATCTTGACGTACATACAGAAACAAAACATTAGTATTTTACACGGACGGTTGAAAATATATTGTAAGTAAAGTATACACAAATGTGAGACGATCAATATATCTTCAGCGAAAATGACTTTATCGATTCAGAGTTATATATAACACAAACGAAATTGCAATTAACTATGAATTTAGTAAACTGAAGAATTTCCGAATACAGTTCTCATGCAAAATGGATTAACATAAATACAGACGTTTTAAAATAAACACAAAATAAAGAGCTTTAAAAATACGAAATAAAACAAATGCAGGCCTCTGAAGAAGTCGTACTAAGAAGTATAAAAACAGGGGATTTTGATTTCAGTGTAAACTCTAGAACGAGTGTTTTATGCACATTTCTTAACATGAGCTACATTATCACAGAAAAATCATACAGTGGCCAATCAGGAAGCCCTTTGAATCCAAAAAAAAAACAGTGGTCAATCAGGAAGTCTTTTGAATCCAAAAACCAGTGGCCAATCAGCAAGTCCTTTAAATCCAAAAAAAAAACAGTGGTCAATCAGGAAGTCTTTTGAATCCAAAAACCAGTGGCCAATCAGCAAGTCCTTTAAATCCAAAAAAAAAACAGTG